GATATTAATCCAAATCTTTTCATTAATTTTTTTGAGTAGTGATGATGAAGAATGCGACACATTCCTAACACTTTTGGGTTCCTTTACATCAAAATGTAATATTTTCAATATTTTTAAATTTTAAAAATTATTTTTAAGATCTAAAATAAGAGCAAGCTCAAATATTAAGGTCAAGTTGTTATGAGTGCTTGAATTGGTTTTAAGATAATAAGTAATAACTAATAATTATAAAAAACTCTAATTTTCTTAGAACTTATAACTACTAAGTAATAATTAATAAATTAATTAAGAAATTTATGAAATTCTAAATTTATACACATATTCTTAACACGTCTATGTTAAGTGAATAGAATATTGGTTGAGTGATAGAGAGATGTTATCTTTATATTATAAATTTTGAATTTGAATATGATAATAACTAATAATTAATAAAAAATAGCATTGGGAATAAAAAAGCATTTTCTTTATCTTTAAAATCTTTTATATTTATTATTGAAATAATATTAAAAGGGTTATAACAAAATAAAATTGTCAATTTTTTTATCATTGACTTTGTATAATTCTTTAATTATTTAATTATATTATTTAGAGGCATGGAGTATAATTTTTTCGTATAAATTGAAACTCAAAATTTATTTAAATTCATTAAAATATTGAATAAGATTTGAGACAAATTTAATTTTTATTTTCAAATTAATTAGCCACCAAACTCAGCATCAAATCCAATATCTTATCTAGCTTAAACATTACATACAAAATTGTCATATATTTACTAAATTAACTCAAGCATTATTTTTATTCATTTAATTTATTTTAAAATAAATACAATATGATGAATAATTAATTAGATATAAATATTACATTTATCTATAAATAAAGAAATAAATAATATATAAATTTCGACTAAATTTAAGTGAAAATAACCTACCCTTTTTTTTCAAAAAATTTATCACCATATTTACCCTGAGTTATATTCTTTTATTTACCTAAGTAATTTTGACAACCCATGAACAATGATTGGCCTCAATTCATGGCAAAGAAGCCACCTAAGGCCAAGAGCGGAACCCCATTGGGGTCAGAGGGGACAATTGCCCACGCCTCAAAAAATGTAAAAAAAATTGTTTATATGATTTTTTAGGTAATGTATCCCTCTTCATTTATTATTTAGTCTTTATTACAAGGGCTTTTAGGCAATTGTCCGACTAAAAATTTTAAAATACTATGGTCTTTAGGTAATTGCCCCCAACAAATAGTAAAGAGAATTCATCATTGAATTCCAAAAATATCCTTCAAACGAAAATTTGTTCTGGGGGCATTGCCCCTGGAAACCACCGCAAGGGCGCTGCCCCTTGACCCCTCCAGGAGGTGCTACTCCCTTTAACCCCCAACATATATGTCTTATAAGTTTGTCCCCACCTGAAAATTAGGGCTGGTTCCGCCCCTGCCTAAGGCCTTGTAGCATGTTCATAGAGGACCTCCCATTACTACAGTAGGTGTAGACAATATCACTACCCATAAGGACTTGGAAAACATTGGAATAGATAACTCTGTATCAACATTTCATTTGGGACAGTTTTTTTACTGTTTCTTAAAATAATTTTTTAAAAAAAAATTAAAAATTTTAAACAAAAAAGCTATTTTAAATTTTATTTGAGATAACTTTTTTAACTGATTTAAGTAGTCAAAAAACCTCCCAAAATGAATCTTTACAAGCCCTGCTTCATTGATTCTAAAGAAGAAAAAACATCATTAAATGACCAACACTTACCTTGAAAAGCCAATCTAGTGGAGAACAGTACAACTGAACAGTAGATGAATGGCCAGCAATAAGCTGCTTTAATTCACTGTCCTTCCTTTATGCAATCTTCCAGAAAAGAAATCTAAACTAAATTCTGTTGCTCCTTATTAGGAAATTGGATGATTACTGTTTTTAGAATATTTTCATAAACCAATGGTTGCTTGCTTTGTGATGATCCTTTTGTTTGAAAAGGAAGATGGTGGATGAATTGATTGGTACACTATGAGGAATTGAGATTTTAGTATGTTTGGTATGATTTCAGTTTCATTATTATCTAAGTTGAAAATCAAAATCAAATCTAGAGAGAATAAAGCCAATCAAAAGTAGATGATTTTGAATCAAATTTTTGTTTGATTTGACTCTATTTGTACTGAAAGTAGATGAAATTGAGGAGAAATTATTCTGTCCTGAGATCAGACGCAAAACGTCGTCCGGAGACTAACCAGAATGCGCCATGTTAGTAGTACTGAGCGGCAGTACCAAGCCACACCGAACATAGCAATTATTACATCCGGTCAAAACCGAACGTATCTAAATATATACCGAGTTTTAGGTGATGTGGCGCGTGGTTATTGGTTTATGACCGTGTTCGGTGACCGGACGTAATAATTGCTTCACCAAATAAGGGGTGACATGACGCACTCTGGTTGGTCTCCCGACAGTGTTCGACATCCGCACAAAATAATTAATTGAGGGGATGCACTTTGTTCTTGTAAGGGTGAGTAAGATCACATCATCCATATTCAATGTATTTGGTGATCTCCATTATGGCACCATTATCAGTTTATGCAACTGAGAGGCATTCAAATATGAATTGCTTTTAACTGGTTTCTTTTTTAAAAAGCCAATAAAGCTGCAAATGCTAGCTTATATAGAGGTCATTTTTAGCTATGAGGTAGCTTGCTTGATCTTCTTCCATTATCATATCTACCAGATGGATAGATCAGGTTGAATCCATATAAAAATAAGAGTTTGAAGTTCAACTCTGTAGCCAAGTCACTCAGTTGTTGGAATTTTTATAATATTTGACTTTGCTTGGAATCAAGGTGACTTAACCAGCTCAAATAGAATTTGGATAAGTCAAATTAGGCCAAATCAAGCACACTTGAGACTAAATTAAAATATATAAATATATACAAATACATTCATGCATATAAATATTTATCATTTTACTTCAAATTATATACATTTATGATTTGTGCTTAACCAATATATTTAGCTAAATTTTATTTTAAAAAAACAATCGACACAGAAAGATCCACAATGAGAGCACTGAGGGTATACCCCTACTCGCCCAAGTGTTTTTCCCTGTTCATCGAATGCATCTGCCATCATTGAAAAAATATTCTGTGCGGAGTCCACACCCAAATAAAAATGCACCACGTCTGGTATCGAGCTTAGTACAGAGCAGTACCGTGGCTCGGTATCGTTAGGTACCTAAGCGTAAACCGGACGGTTCTCCCGTCCGGTGTCCGCAAAGAATAATCTCTCCCATCGTTGACCCAGCCAAACATGCTACCTAGACACCCACTCCTAACGCCGGCCGCCAAACAGTGACGTTGTTGGCTGCTTGCATTTGCACTCTGATATTCTTTGGCCAAAAAGATCATTGTTTTAAGTTTGTTCCATATAGTAGAAGATGATACGAAAGTTCACACAAGTTTTTATAATGTTTTATTCAACTTAAACGAGACAACTTTCTTACTATTTTTTAAAATATTTTTTTAGCACAAAAATTCTTCGAACTAAAAATTTCAATCTGCAGGCATCATCAACTGCCCAGGCATGTGATATTTGCCTCCTAAATTATCTGTTAAATCTAATATTAAACTTGCTATCCACTGCCCTACCAATACAAACATAGGCAATGAATGATTTATGATTCCCCTTCTAAACTACTCTGATTTTAGCAATTAAAATATCAGCAATACAAAAAATTGTGTGCGCTTCAAAAACAAAATAATTGTAATTAGATCATGCAGATCATCTTTGAACAAACAATCTACAATTTAATGATCAGATAGAGCCAATTCAGGCAATTTGATAGATTTCAGATGTGAAATCTATGCAGATTGAAAAGCAGCCGTTCTCAATTAAAATAATTTTTTGACTTAGGCTTCATTTGAAACAGTTTTCTTACTGCTTCTTAAAGCAACTTTCTAGCAGAAAAATGATCAGATAGAGCCAATTCAGGCACTTTGATAGATTTCAGATGTGAAATCTATGTAGATTGAAAAGCAGCCGTTCTCAATTAAAATAATTTTTTGACTTAGGCTTCATTTGAAACAGTTTTCTTACTGCTTCTTAAAGCAACTTTCTAGCAGAAAATTTTTATTTTTTTTACTAAAAAGTTGCTTTAAGAAGCAAAAAAAAAACCGCCCCAAACTAAGTCTTAGACTTCATTTGGGTCGGCTTCTTCCTGCTTAAAGCAGATTTTTAGTTAAAAAAACTAAATTAAAAAATGTGTGTATTAAAAAGCTGCTTTAAGAAGCAGTAAAAAAACCGTTCCAAATAAAACCTTAGCCCCTAAAAATCAAATATACTTTTCTCTCAGAGAGAAATTAATGAGTCAAATCCAACCTACCTAACCTGAAACTAAGCCCAAGCTAGGGTCGAATCGAATAAATACGGCTAATGTCGAGATTAATCAGCTCAACACTCATAACCCTGCAAAAAAGAACTGAATAAACCATAAAGCATGAATGATTTCGTACCAGATAACAAAAAGAAAGATGCGGATTAAAGAACGGTTTGCCAGGGAAATATGACTTTCGGTTGCTGAGAGCTTTAAACTTTCAAGCATGGAATGTAGCTTCCAGCATCTGAGAAGAAATACTATGCAAAAACTCATGCCCCATAAACACTTAGGCTTCATTTGGGACGGCTTTTTTTTTCTTCTTAAAATGACTTTTCAGTTTAATTTTTTAACTAAAAAACCACTTCAAAAAGCAGAACAAAAGTCGTCCCAAACGAAGCCTTATTATTGCTGGATAACATTCTTCGAAATTTACTAAGCACCTGTAGGAAAGGTCTTAGCAATTTTTTGTAAAAAAAAATTTGGAAGAGTGTAGCACTACATCTTGGGAAGAAACCCAGCCATTTCAAGCTTTATAACTAAACACAAATGGAAAAATGGTGGGAAGAACAGGCCAATAAGAAATAGTGGCCTCAAATTAGCTTCAATGATAATTCAATTGGGAGCTTAGAAAAATATCGTTCAGTTTTTTAAGACTTAAAAACGGCTTAAACTAAGCATGATTAACGTGGAAAAGAGATTATTGAAAAATAATGCAAATGCCAGGTTAGGGTTTAAGACAATTTAGGTTATACCAATATCAAACAATCGTTGAGACAAAACTTCTGTAGGATTGGAGTGACAAATAATGCTTACTTCCATCTATCCCTCAGTTCCTTTTTCTCAGACAGGACCCATGTCACCAAGATAGCAGCTACCAGGGCAACAATAGTGATGAGCAAGAGGGCATAGTTGAAATCTTCTGTAAGAGAATCATAGGTCCGTGATGGGGCAATTCGGGTGAAAAAGAGATCGACCCCGTAGGCAAAGACGAGGGTGGTGGATTCCAATTTGGCTGGGATCGTTACTATGCCTCGAATGCCTTCCACTTGGAGCGAGTGCGTCACGTACGACTGTGGACCAAAATCGCCATGTGAGATCATGAATTTGAAAACTCAAAAAAAAAACCTTGATTGCTGCAGCATTATAGTTTATATGGCACATATAGTTCTGATTCTAGGGTAGAATTTGACTACAGGAAAACAAACTTAAAAAAAAAGTAAAGCCATAAGTGCTGAAATTTGACAGTTGAACATTGTGAACTTTTAAATTTTCCCTTGAATTTTTACACGTCCAATCCCCTTTCTATGGGCACAAAGTCACTGCTGGCTTTGCTCCATTAGATGAAGGCAACAGGCTTGGAATTACATTAGGCAGCTTCTTCATGTTCTCAATACACTAATCAGTAGCAATCAGAAAGAACAAAATGCCTTATTTACGGTAATGGTTGCAATGCACAGGTATGTGAGGAATGATGGGTCAAGATGTAATGGTTGTTTTTTTTCTTCTGTTATAGATATCTGAGTGTCAAAATTCATTCCTTCATAGAATTCTAACCAAAAAACCTTAAGCGTACAAACTGGACAACCAAATTGCCTTAAAATTGGAGTAAATCATATAAAGACTTTGAGGCCAGTAAAAATATGAGATGGGTCTCAGCTTTCGGAGAAAGGCGACCAATAACAGGGCAATAATTTGAAATTGTACAGACAACTGCATGTAAGCTAAGTCCACGTGCAAGTGCAAGATAATCACAAAAGCTAATAACTTGAAGTCAAATAGGCTTTGTTTTGAACATCAACGTGCATTCATCCTTGATAAGTTTTGCATAAGGAATTAAACCTATTTTGAGGAATTTTTTTGCATGACTTCCATCCAAGTTATCTTTTGATCAAGTACTTTTCTTCATAATATTTTGATGTTAATTTTATCCACCCTTCTTATTGGCACTTCCTCTACCGTGTAATGTATATTCCCAAGTCACATAAATAAACCTTCTAACATCTTATCTTAATACTACTCTTACTGACCCTCTAAAATAACTATTTCTAATTTCATCATTCCTAATTCCAACACCAAGCAATCTTGGCATTTAACCACAATCAAGGTTTTATCAATGACTTTTTTACTACCCAACTAGATCTATACAACATAGCTAGCCTACTCTATTTTAAAACTGACCATTTAAGTCTCAATAATATTCTCTTACATAGAACTCTTGAAGCACTTCTTCATTTTAGACATTAGTCTATCCGCATTCTTATGGATAACATACACAAGCTGCTAAAACCTATCATCTAGGTATACCTTATTTTCTAGTTCTATTGATGGAAATAAAATGTTAGCCCCACTAAGATTGCATATATACTCAATCATTATTCTATTAATTCTAAGATCTTAATTTCATAGACTTTTTATCCATTATTCTCATTTTCTGCTGCTTGCAACAATGGCCTTATCAATTAGAATTACTTAATCTTAAAAAAAATACAAAGGTGCTTTGAAAATATTTTATAAGCACCTCCATAACGTCTAACAAAAGATATGTAGTTAATATTGACCGATGTAAACAAGCATGTTTGTGAACTCCATCAATCCAAACAATAAATTATAATACCAGTCAATGCTTCATAATGCACATCTTTGATAACTTTAACATATCTTTGCTACCCATCTAATAACATTACATATTTCTCCAAACAATTAATTATTCAAATGTAATAACAATTTAAACTTAATAAATAAATATATCTCACTGAATAATCCTAATCATAAATCCAACAAAACAATTTTCAAGTTGCAACAACACCATTTCTTCCTAATTTATACAAAAATAAAAAATAAAAAATAAAAAGTTGCAATAGGAAATTGAAAGCTCTAATTTACATTTTATTTAATGAATTTAGATCAACAAATAGTAAAAGGTAAAAAAAATGTTGGTAAAAGTGTGTATTGATGCCTTTCAAATGTGAAGCACTACAATGCGGCCGGCTTGAGTACTACTAGCTATTCACGCGAACAAAAAAAGCAAAACACGTACTAAATGATGCTTAATCACAAGAAACGCTTGAACAAAGTGCTTGCACGATGGTTTTATCTGTCAAGCTCGATCATAAACTCCTGGGTTTGCTTCACAAAGCTTGGGGTTGAACAATATAGTCAATGAATAAAAGAGGTAGAAAATCAGTTCACTTGAAGAGTTAACAACCAGGGCCTGCACACTATGTACTTCATGACTAGTCTTACTTCATGCTCGCAAAATGACCGAACACTTTTTCTCCTTCACACCCTCATTTATGCTTCAGAGCTCAAGTTTTATACTTCACACTTCATCTCATCTCCGGGCTTTTTACCTGTATGCATCTTGTAGATGCAGACAAACTATAACCCTCTATGCATACAGGCATCTTTTTCCTCACATGTTCTATTTAGTTTTAAAGTATTTTTCACTCTTTATCGACTCAATTCATATTCGGACATTTAAATTTTTGAATTTTTTTTTTTTAATTTCTATGTTTTGTTTAAATTCTCAACTCATTATCACTTTAATTTTGAGATGACATGTGCACACTGCATGCATACTTTCTTAAGATTTATAATTAAATTGAAGATATTACTATCGTGATGTGAAATTTTGGCACAAAAAATTGGTCATTAAAAGAAAAGCATAAAATTAAATGTAACAGAGATGAGAATGCTTAGGTAGATGAGTGGCTTTACACTTAGAGATAGAATGTCAAACCAGTATATATAAGAAAAGTTAGAGTAGCTCCGGAGGCAAATAAGATTAGAGAGAGTCGCCTAGGTGGTTTGGTCACATAAAACATAAAACTTCAGCCTTCAGATAACCCTTTTAGGATATTAGATTTATTAAATCTAACTTATGTTAAGAAGGTTAGAAGTGGACATAAAAAAACTTGGTTAAAAAGAATTAAAAATGATTTTTTTTTAATCAAGATTTTGAAAACCAGACCGGACCGGACGGTTCAACCTGTTGAACTGTGAACCGGTCGGGCAGCCGGTTATGTTAACTCTTAGAACCGGTTTTGATTCAAACCGAGGAAAATAAGTCGGACCGGAGAACCGGCGTCGGTTCTTAAGAACCACACGGTTCAAAAAACTACGGATTTTAGCTGTTGATTTTGGATCAAACGGTCAAGTAAACTCAAGAAAAAATAAGAAATAACCTAATGCGTTCAATCACCCGGGTCGTAATTCATTTCGCTTACTTGCAACTCGTGATTTCATCTGTGCAGTGTTGTTCGTCTCCCGCTAACCCTAGTTGTAGCTATCGTTGGTGATTAGCGAGCTCGACGACGGAATGTGTGTAGTGTCGCTATCGTTCGTGCTAGCAATGTTGCTGCCTCTGCTAGGATTTTATTTTATTTTTTATAATGATTTGATAAGTTATAGGTTAGCCATGAACAAAGGGATTGTTTTCAATAGTTTAAATTTGAGATTTATGTTGATATTGTGTATTAATCTTGCATGAATGTTAATTGACGAAGTGTTTCGTGCTTAAGAAGTGGCACCGCTACATGTTAGAGGAGGGGGATTGAGTTTTTTTTTTTTCCCACCTTGTTATGTCTGTTCGGTGGTGTTTAGTAAGGCTTTACAAAATGCTTGCCCGCCATCTATTTGCTAGAACAAGTGAAAGCTGTGGCTTGACAGTGAATGTTGAGGAATAAGGTTAAGTTGTTTTGGGCTTGCAATGTGAGTTCGGCTTTTTTGATTGAGGCAAGGTTGTAATCTCTTGATTTCTCAGAAAACTTCAGTTATTTTATTTGATCCTGCATTGAGGATAAATTGATAGAGAACTCTCTTTTGTAGTTTATGGGATGACAAAGCATTGGTTTTTGTGTTGGAAGAGGTTTTGGGTTCGTTTCTTACATGATTTTGGTGCTTGATAATGTGAATGTTGATGAGCCTTGAGTTCTTCTTATATGCAATGCGAGTTCGATATGGTTTTGACTAAATGATATGAATTTAGTGTTTTTTTATGAGGCTTCAAAAAATTGTTTGCTGCGTCACAATATTTTCTTTAGGGGCTATTTGATTTGAAGTAAAATAGGTTTAAAGTATTCTAATAGTATGGTTCAAAATTGCGCAATATGAGGCCCGCCTTTGCGCAATTACATTAAAAAACGCCTCGATGCTTACGCCTCGAGTTTTTTTATGAGTCTTGCGCCTCAACTTGGTTGAGGCCCGCCTTGAACCTGCCTCGCCTCACGCTATATATATTAAAACTTACATAAATCATGAAGTAAATGCCCGACATTGGACTCTATAGAAGAGGAGGAAGAGGAGAGAGCAGTTCATCATAATGATTATTCAAATGAAGAACCCCTTAGTGATGACAGTGATGATAACTTATGAGTTCTTATGTGATATGTCATTGCTATTTAATATTTATTTTTGGAAATTGGAATTATATGTTAGCGAAAAGAATACTGGGATTTGGGAAAGATAGAATTTTGAGTTGAACTATATTTCATGTTGTCTAATTATTGGGATATTTTGATTTCACTTCATATCTTATGCTTTTTTATGTTTTATATTATTCACTCATTAGTATATAAAAAATTTATCATTTTATGTTTACGTAATCTTTTGATTTTGAGGCTTACGCCTCAAAACGCCTTGCGGCTTATGCCTCACCTCACGAATGAAAAACGCCTCAATACCCGAATACACAATTTTAAACATTGTCTAATAGCATAGGTTTTGAGAATATTGGTGTTTTGTTTGAAGTAAAAGAAATGCAAAATAAAATTTCGGCGTATTTGATATGAACCATCTAGTGTAATTTTGGTGTATTTGAAATTCGTTAGATTTGGATGATTTCCGCATACATCATAACTTTTTAGTCATTGTTGTCGGCTACCTTGCCAGAGGTTGTAGCCTTTTTGCATTAATCTTGATTATTCTTATTAGACATTTGCAAGAGGTTGTACCCTAGTGTATTAAGTGCATGGGTGGTTGATGATATTTGGACTACATTCATTGTAAATGCATACGGAAACAACTTACTGAAATTTTAAGTGCAATCTGCTTTAGTTAATTCAATTCATTGTGAACTACTGCACCTGCCCGATGAATTAGCTAGATTTAATTACATATTTTTCGTGATTTAGGGGAGAAAAGGGATTGTGCTTCCTTAGAATGACTTCAATAATTATATGCATAATTGTTTCTTAAAATTTTGTCCTCCATTTTAAGTTGTAGAGAATGCATGTGATTATTATTTATGAGAACTACATTCATTCTCTTGTTAGCTTAGTTGTGTTTAAAATTCATTTGATTGTTCATATTAGAATGGAAGCTCCTAGCGCTCAACTTGCAACATCAGGTTACGATGTGCGCAAAAAAAAATGATATTGTTTGGAATCATTTCACTGAAATTAGGGGGGTTGATGGGAAGAAACAGTTCAGATGCTGACATTGTGGTACTACATATAAGGGAGATGGCATAAACCGAATGAAGCAACATTTAGCAAGAGTTAAAGGAATATAGCTGCATGTAAAAAATGTGTCACATGATATTCGTTATCAAAAGAAGGAAATTTGAAGGGAATATTTTAAAAAATAGCAAGCACTACAGAAGTTAGAGAGTGAACCTATTCATATAGAAGAAATAGTAAAAGGGATTCAGTTTCTCTGCCTGGATCACAAACTTCTGAAATACATATAAAAGTTGATAAAAGGAAAAGAAAACTTGATGAGATAGAGAATTTCTTTGCTCCTAGAACTAAGCCTGGATCTTAACCCTCGCTTAAAAGTGTCTTAGCATCGAAAGAAGTAGTACATCGTGCAGATATGGCTGTAGCAAGGTGGTTCTTTGATTCTTGTATCTCATTCAATGCCTTGAATTCGATCTATGCACAGAAAATTGTTGATGCCATCGAAGTCATAGGTTCAGATAACAAAAATTCATCATATTATAGAATGAGAGTAAACCTGCTTAGAAATTATAAAGAGTATGGATTACTTATTGATTCATATAGACAATCTTGGAAGGAAAAAGACTGTACAATCATGGCTGATGGTTTCACCGATAATAGAACCATAACACTCATAAACTTTTATGTTTTTTTTTAAAATCAGTTGATGCATTTGCTCTAACCAAGGATGCTACAACCTTGTGTTCTTTATTCACTAAGTTAGTTGAATGGATAGAACCAGAGAATATAGTGCAACTGATAACTGATAATGCTGCGAATCATAAAAAAATTGGAGAAATGTTACATGAAAGATTCAGCAATATTTACCGGTCACCTTGTGTAGCATACTGTATGAACTTGATATTGAAGGATATAGGTAACATGAATCACATAGAAGTGCTAGCTAGAAAAGCATCAAAGGTGACATTTATACTTGCATGGCTTAGAAGAAGATCAGGTTGGAAGGAGATTGTGTGACCAGGAGCTACAAGATTTGCTACTACCTTTATTTCTTCAAGAAGTATCTATGATCACAAGCATGACTTTCAAGCTTTAGTCACCAGTAAATTCTATGCATATTCAAAGTTATCAAAAACCACCAAAGGAAAAAAGATTGTAGCTACTTAGATATGAACTTTGGAATGAGTGGCTAGTTATATCAAAAATATTTGGTCCATTAATTAGATTGATTTGTATAGTTTTTTTTTTTAAGATTGATTCGTATAGTTGATTCAGATGAAAACCCCACATTAAGGTATTGATATAATGGTATGTACAGGACAAGAAAAGCAATAAAGGCTGTCTTCAAAAATACGAAGAGATTGTATAAGTCATATACAACTATCATTAAGAGAAGATGAGATTCTCAACTTAGGCAAAATAAAAACTTTTAAGATGCCTTCGAAAGTTTTGGAAAGTCGATTGCTCTCACACTGTCAAAAGAAATACAACCGGGTAATTTTTTTATTATGTCAAAATATATTAACATTTCAATTTTATAAAAAATGAAAATTCATTAAGATCTCTCAATTGATATTTTTTTAGAAGAGTGGTACAAGATGTTTGGATCAAGTGTTTCAAACTTGTAAAAATTAGCAATAAGAATTCTAAGTCAAACATCATCCTCCTCAGGCTGTGAAATAAATTAGAGTGTCTTTAAACAAATTCATTCAAAGAGATATAATCTTTTGAAGCATCAATGGCTCAACGATTTAGTATCTATTCGATACAATCTCAATTTAAAGAATAGTATAATTTTCAAGTATATTAATATAGAATAATATTTTTACAACATTTAGCAATGCACTAATTAAAACAGTTCCTTTGAGTACGTGCCGATTTTGTCGCGTGAATTTCATTGGATGAAATTATATGCCATTTTGGGTATTGTCGACGCTCCGAGCGCAACGGCGAAATCCGTTTTGCAATCAGATGTCGTTTGGGAGACGTCGCGCGTCAACTTCTTCAATTTGCACGAGGCATCGGGATCTACTCCGATCTCCTCGTGTGACCTCAATTAAACAAACTTATAGTCACTTTTGAGTATTGATGACGCCTCGAAGTCTGTTTTGCAATCGGACATCATTTGGGTGACGTCGCAGTTAATTTTAGGTGTCGGTCATCCCTTTTGATCGATCTCTTCTGATTTGATTGTGAAGTGCTGCCAATTAGAGAAATTCGACATTCTAGTCGCAACGACGCAATCTGTTCGGTGATTGGCCTTCAAGTGACACATTGTGCTGACGTGCATGTCGTTAAAATCGCCGATTTTGCCCCTTTTCACGTGTTCTTCAATGTAGGTATCAACATTGGTTTTCTATGGACCTAAAGCCAGTTCAAGTAGGGTTCAAGCTGGATTAAATCTTATTTTAAATCAGAAAATGGAAAGCACATTTTCAAGGAGGGGGGGGGGGGTAGACAAGGTAAAGCAACTGCTAATCATTTTACTTCTATATTTTCTTTATGCATATATATCGCCATGGAAAGCAACAAGGGTAAAACAACTGTTAACCATTTTGATACCATATTTCCTTTATGCGCATAATGCCTCAATGCCAGAATCCCTCAAGATGCTGGTAAAAAAAGGTATTCAGAAACAATAACCATACCTTGAAACCAAGAAACCATTATCACAACCAATTGTAGATTTGTAAAATGGCAAATAAGGTGTGTATGAGACGCAGGCCAAGGATGCAAACGTAGAGTAGGAAATAAAGATAATTGTTTAACAAAAGCAAACTGTTCTATCATCTTAGATCGCAAGACTAGACTGAATATAATTAGCCAGTAGAGTAGACAGGAGAATACCTGAGGTATGATTGGCAGAGTATCGGTTAGTGGTATGATACCCTCTTCCTTCTCTGACTGGGTAGGGCTAGCTGTACGCCTTGGATCAAGATAGCGCTTATCAAGAGCCAATACCTAAAATTAGGCAGTAAAATTTATAGTTGATTTAGAACTTTCAAAATTTTCAACAAGAATTTGATCAATCCAGAAACGCAAAATTTATAGAGAACACATTTTAAAACGACAATGAATGACAAAGTAACGGAATTATATCAGCATAATAGAATACTTTGTTTTGATATATTTTAGCTAACCTGATCGGCAATAGTTCCAATGAGAAGTTGCTTAGAAGTTATACCCTTAGCTGTCGTAGTTACTGTCATTACTTTCACAGAATGGGTAAAGAAGTATGACTGGGATTTGACCACCACCTCCGGCCGAGAATACAAGGAGATCGGAGATGTCAAGTTATGCTTACCCAGAACAAGCTTCAAGACATCTTTGTTATCCTGTATAAAAAAATTTAAATTCTCAGTACTTTATGGTTTGAAATGACAATGATAGAAGTGTATGTATCATTGTAAGAGCAATTATGCCATAAATACTAACCGCCCGAGACTGATCATAGATCTCAATAACTGACATTTCATATCTGTGCGCTCTCAAATTGAAGTAGTGATATACTACCCAATTTTCACTAACAACCTTTAAAAGGAAAATAGAAATGAGGTCACTAGAAGACTATTTACAAAAAACTGCTTGATATTGTTGATAGAAACAGAAGAAAGTGAAGGATCAAACTACTTACAGCATTCACAGGGCCTTGAGCACCTTGGTGAATTACCCGATGCAATATGCGTCCAGTTACAGCATCAATAAGGTATGCTATTAACCAAGCTTCTTCAGGTGTCACTGAACCAATCTCACCGGCAGCCTTTGGAGAAATGGTCGCAACAAAGATCAAGCTTTTTGATATGTACTTGTACATCACATCCTGATCAGCTATGACCTTTGCTTGTGTATGAACAACCTAGAATTCAAACAGAATGTTTATAAACAATTCTGTGACCAAGATGTAATAACACGCTGAAGAAGAAAAAAAAACAAGCACCCAATATCTACAATCAAAGATCTTTGCACATGAGAATGGCAATTAAACAAGTTTTTTATGAAAAAAATAAAATGGTAGCCATTTAATTATTGATTGATTCATAGCATATGTTTTCAAAAATTACTTTCATCATCACTAGCCTTATACCAACTATTTGAAGTTAGTTTTATGAACCACCTTCCATTTAAATTGAGTGAACTATGTATGCTTAATGAATATTCCTCCTTTCATTTAGTTGGTTGAACTAGGTAATTTATATGAATCTTCTAAACTGTGCTAGCCAATTTAATTCTTGCATTGAAAGGAAATGAGTATATTAATACGTAATTTAGGCTCCGTTTGGGACGGCTTTTTTTACTGCTTCTTGAATGAGCATTTTAGTTAAAAAATTTAAATTTTTATACTAAAAAAAATTATACTAAAAAACTGCTTTAAAAAGCAGTAAAAAAGCCGTCCCAAACGAAGACTTAGGCTTGGTTGGGACGGCTTCACGGCTACGTTGCTTTATAAAAAATTATTAAATGTTCGTTTGGGACATCGCGGCAGAACGAAGTTAGAAAAATTTTTGCGGCCTGACGCTGCTTCCCGCGACCTTTCCTGCCTCCCGCGGTCCGCTGCTTCCCCTGCTTCCCGTGGTTTTTGAAGAGAAAAAAATGTCGTAAATGCCCTGCGAGATTGGTTCTTCCTCGTTGTCAGCGGACCACCCTTATCCTCTTCTCCTTCCCTACCTCTGTCATTCCCCTTGTGGCAGAATCAATCGAAACAAAAAGAGATAAATGGCAAGAGCGATAGGACACGCCATAGCTGCCATGATTACCAAAATCTCCGGCAATGCGAGGACGAGTGGTGACGCTGGGACCTCAGTCGCCGTTTGCATCGTCGGAGAGAGGGGGCCGGCGACTACGGCTCCGTCTCTTATTGTGGGTAAGAGAGAGGGCCTCTACGCATGCTTCACGACGTCATCAAAACCCAAAAACTCCCTAACTTTCGCTGCAAGAGATTCTACATCTGAACTGCAAACCACATCAAACTTCTCCAACAGCTTCAGCTTTTCGGCAGCGGCGAGAAATCTTTCTCCGACAAGCATTATAAGCCCAATAGAATCACAACAATAGAGATCGAGCACCAGTTCATGTGCACCAGTTCATGTGCACCAGCTTCAGTCGCACCCAGTTCAAGCATGTCGCCAAGTACGCAAACCCTTTTACCAGTACAGTCAAGGTTCTTCAAAGATTCAATGGCCGCAGCCATGCTCGTAGGGCTGGCATTGTAGGCATGTGGGACGCATTTGGGACCGCATGGGCGCTGGACGAAATCTTGAGAGTGATTATGCGATTTGATCTTCTTCTTATCTTCATGAATGCTATCCTGCTTTATTTTAATTCAATCTTAATTAAAAATGTATAAGGGTTATATTATTATTATAATAAGAAATTTTTTTTATTTCAGGTAATATCATATATGAAAAAAAATTTCAAATACCTTCAAAAGATGATATAACATTGTCAAAATAAAATTAGAGAACTTTGATATTTAAAAGTCATAAAATATTTTGATAAAGTGGATAAAATTTTAATTTAAAATTGTTAGTTTGTATTATGTACATGAAATGAAAAAAAAATTACATTTATACAATTTTTTTTCATCTTAATATATCTAAGGGTAGTACGGTAATTTGTTCGCATAAAGGTGCAGCACAGCAGTTTGACAGTTATGCTATCCAAACAAAATATAATGATTTATGTACAGTAACTTCAAAAAGCAACTTTCTGTACACCAACTTCACAACTTGCTTTAACGACAGCTGCAGCCGTCCCAAACGCACCCTTAGTTAGAAAGAGTGCTTCTCCTGCTCCAGAAAATTGAAAATAAGTTGATGCGGACAAATTTTCAGTGTTTTAGTGAAATGAAATAATATTTAGGCTTTGATTGGAACCATTGTACTGATGCAATACCTTTGTTAGATTGCATGAAATCGCCATATTCATATCAAAAGACATGCCACTTCACATGGCCCAGCTCCTCCATAAGATGGTCCACATGTCTATGAAATGATAATTGCACATGACAAATGGGATTTTCTAAATGCATGCCCCAGTTTTTCAAAACGTGAAACAAAAACTGAAGTGAAAGGATTCACGGCCCGATGGTTCAAAAAAGATAATGTTGTTTCTCTAGGCCGGAGGTTTGAGCCACACACATTATGATTTTACCACTCAATTTTCCAAAACATAAAAGCTGAATCAAAACAAGCCTAAACATGTATGGATTGCATGTCTTCTGATATTTGATAAAAATTCCTCTAGATGAAGTCAGTCATCCTTGTTAATAAACAATGCTAAGGCAGATTTTGTGGCAATGCACAATTAATAGCTACAGAAATTTAATAAAGACACAAGTCAAATAAGCAAAACAAGGCAAAACTTAAAATTAACAGATCTTAAAGATATAACCACACGAATATATTTTTAAATGGAAATTCTAGAAAGAGATAATGAAGGGTAGTAGTATACAGCAAGTTGCCTAGGAAAACTTGCCATGGAATAATGAGCAAAATAAGTATACGCTACATGTAGTATCAGGGTTGAAAATGAGCATAAGTTTAGCGTGCCCAATTTTCTTCAAATATTTATTATGGGTGAAAATTTCAAGAAACAGGCATAGGATAAAAATTTAACAAATGGAAACTGCAACAGACCTCATTCATCTTTCTCGTAGCAATGATTGCAAGCTTCTCAGAGTGAGCAGGAAAGATGATAGACCACAACTCTTTACTATTAAAGCAGTATTGATCTTCCATATCAGCTTTGCATTTGCCATTGAAAGAATAACCCTTCATAATGCCTTCAATATAATCTACTGCATACCAGTAAATATTTGAGATTTCACGGAGAAAGATGTCAATAGAGTCAGGTGTTCTTGGATACAAATGTGCCTCAAAATTTGAATCTATCACAAGATGAAGTCGTTGTTCGGTTGAATCTGTAAAAGGTAGTGGGATAACTTGAAGAAGGGAATGAGGAAGCTTTTGAGAGCTTCTCAGCTTCCCAGTATAAGAATCAATTATTGAGAAAACACCTGACTGAAGAAAATCAGGTCCACATTTGGCCAAAACAAGAACAGAAGGGCTCTCAACCATTGCACGATGATGAGGAACCTGCCACTGTGAGAGCTTTAGAACAGAGGGACATTCACAACCTTCTGATATACGAAGTGAACGAAGCAGAAGAGACCAAACAACTCGTCCATCTCCAGTGTGAAGTGCAAAAACCTTTCCAGCTTTAGTTAGCACAATAATTAACTTCCTAAATCCATTATGATCCCTAGTCATTTTAGTTTTCTCCGAACTTTTCAATCTCATCTCTTGTATAGCAGCAATGTCATCAGGAGTAGCAAGCATAAGAGTTTCTTTAAGTTTCAGCAAATGCCCCTTCAACAAATAAACCAAAGGCAGAGTCAGATGTAACCTTATTGCAGGAATCTTTTGCTTTGCTAAAAGCTCAATATGATAATTAGAAAAATAGCTAAAATGGAAAATCACGAAGATTTAAGCTTCAACTTCCCAATTTTGCCTTTTATGTACTCCTTATATTGATGCAGGACATGTATGACAATTTGATTTAGATAAATGACTTTTGCACACTTGATAATTAAGAGCAAGTTAATTAAAGCTTTATGATGATTCAAACAATGAAATAAAACCAAAGAGCGGTAAACACAAGCTTAGGCCAAGTTACTCGCGAAAAGTAAAAACCCCATAATAATCAATTACTCTTGACGTTGCATATGAGATGGGTTTCAACAAGAAATCCCTAATCTAACAATAAGAGTAATGCTATGAAAGATCTCTCAAACAATTCCTACAAAATACTAAGCTTTTAGCGGAGCCTGGCAAGATTTTGCATGAATCAAATAAAACCACAAACGAGGATCAACGAAGGAGGTAAGAGAGAAGGAAAGAATTCACCCGTTGCTAAGATTCAACCTCCTCGCAAGCTTGGACAGCAGTTGGTGGCGTCTTGACGGCTCGGACAGTAACAAATCCACGCTCGAACCTTTGGACAGCAAGTAGCCAAATTGGGACAGCGATTCCGCACAGTTCCGAGCAGCAACGGTCACTCCCAGAGGGGCTGGACAGCAGCGAACTGCTGCAGGAATCTCTGGACAGCAGATAGGTGGTCTTGAGAAGATCCTGGACAGCAGTTTGCCACTTGGAAAAAAGTTGGACAGCAACTTCTAATGCATAGAAAAACCTTGGATGGTTGCTAGATGATGCTGGGAACTTTTAGATACTAATTCAGGAACTCCAATAGTGCAGGACAGCAGGATAATTCTTCTGATTTGTGTAGACAGCAAGCCAAAAGTTACAAAACGGGAGGGAAACGTCAGGGACAGCTTGGGAGGGGCTGGCTGGATTTGGGATTGGTTAGGGAGAGCTTGATTTGAGGATTTAAGGAAGGATTTTAATTAGAAAAGAGAGATGGGGGGCTAGCAATGGGGAGTTAATTGGGGAATTTATGAGTCCTTCCAAACTTGGGTTGCTAAAAGGGGAAAGAGAATTAGAGAGAAATCTCTATCAATTTCAGATTTGAGAGGATTTGGGAGTTTCCAAAAATAAATCAATCTTTTTAGGAAATGATTTCAAATTCAATTTAATTTGAATTTAAAATTTGAATTCTTTTCAAAGTTAAGATGATCTAAATTAGGAAAGTATTTAATTCTTTCCCACATGAGAGGTTTTATTTTGGAAAGCATCAAGGAGGTGGGAGCTTGGAGGGGCCGACAGCACCAAGGGGAATTGGGGAAATTTTTATGGAAGTCTTTAATGCTTCCTTTAGTTAAGGAATTAAATTTGGGAAGAGATATTTCAGTTGGTGGCTTAATGGGGAAGGAGGAAGGGAAAGGAAAAGGAACGAAAGAAAGGTAAAGGAAGAAGAACCACAAACCCGGCCGTCTCCAAGATTGATGGGTGATCCAATTTCCCTCCCTAGGGATTGCTCCAAAGCTAGAACTCTCACAACTCTCCAAAGAACACATATGCAGGAATTTTCTTATAATTCATTCTTTAACCCTCCAAGAAGAAGAGGGAGGCTTTAAATAGCAAAATGCATGAAGAGAAATAACAAAGACACTATTGCCCCTAGGGCATACATAAGACAAAGCCCTCAAGTGAGGGTAGAAAGGGAAAAAGAACAATAACAAATCAAATACCTAAAATAGATCAAAATAAATAAGCACGATCGTAGCCGTGATCTCTGATGTCCTCATCATATATACTACAAACAACATTCACTTTACAAAGAAGTTTAAATGAAGATTCTCTTTTTTTCCTGTTGAGATGAAATGAAATTTGCAGAAACAAAATATTTACAGCTGAACAAAATATATGAAGCATCTTCATAGTTCTAGAAAAGTTGCAATAATAAATAAAAATCATTTTTAAAGACTAATTCATCTCCTTCTGCTTCAGTAACACAATTCAATAAAAATTTGTCTTATCATGATTGCTCAATTGCTTTGTACTGAGGTGGTGCATTTGACAGAAATTGAACACATCTCTTATGAGGTATGTGATTCATAAGAGGAGCGCGGTGTATGGGAAGATGGTGGATCACGCTTATTTCTTTTTATAATATATTCCAAAGAAACGGCAATCAAAATGTGTGACTTAGCGGTACTGAAAGAAGTTATCATTTCAGAATGAAGGATTAGAATAAAATTTTATTAATTTTCCTCAACGCAAGAATATAATGTACTTAAAGGACTGTCAAAAGAAGAAAAACGTCATAAACATTTGCATATCATACAAGTTCAAGGTTTGCACATAAGAAATTGAATTTTCCAAAAATATAATTGATGTCCAATGGATAGGCCTCTGTTGTATGATTGTTGGTCCTCACTTCAGGTTGCTCAGAAGATGATATTGATTCGCAGGAACTCCAAGCCAACATCAAAATCCTGATTTACGTAATATAAAAACAACAACATCAAGCCTTTATCCAACTACGTGAGGACATGAATCCTTTTTCTCCATTGTGTTCAGTTGTCAAATTCACATTTAGATCTAATAAAGAAATGTCATTTACAATATTTTCTAACCAAGTCTTTTTAGGTCTATCTCTACCCTTCTTAACATAGGTTAAATCTAATACATCTACTCTCCTAACCAGGTCATCAGAAGGCCGTCGTTTTATGTGATCAAACCATCTAAGGCGACTCTCTCTAATCTTATATGCCACTGGAGCTACTCCAACCTTTTCACATATATGCTCATTTCATATCTTGTCTTTAACAGTAAAGCCACTCATCCACCTGAGCATCCTCATCTCTGCAACACTTAACTTAATATTATGCTTCTCTTTTAATGGCCAACATTATGTGCCAGAAAGCATTACAGGTCTAACCACCATCTTATAGAATTTTCCCTTTAAGTTAATACATAAGCAAATAAAAAATACATGGTTTCCCAAAATAACTAGTTAAAAAAAGGTTTTTGACAACTCAAACATCACTCAACAGGAACAAAAAGAAATGAGGATTCATATTACCGACCCCAAATAGTTATAACAAGGCTAATGATGATGATGATGATAGGAAAACTCAACTACTTGATTTACAAAGTGCTCCACAAGCATCAATCTAGATAATGGAAATATGCTAAGATCTAAGAGATCAAAAAAATTCAAAGATTAAGTAATGGAAATCTTGTGTTTTACTATGGAAAAAGCATCATATCAAGAAATACTTAATGCACAATTTATTTGTTTTGTTTTGATAGCATGGTTCATTTTTATTTAACTTATTATTTTTGTAATTCAAAATATGCCAGTGATGATAGCAGTGAGTATTTTTTTCCTAAGCATTAGGTTAGTTTATATGGCTTGGTATTGACTGGGGCTAGTTTAATTCATGATTGTTTCCAGTTTTAAATAATGAGGTCAAAGTCATGTACATGTTATATTCACAGTTCTACACAGTTACGGTCATAAGAATTGCCTGAAGTCTATTGCATTGGAATAAAGGGGTATGCAGCCACGGGCTACGGTGACTTTATCATTGTTCTGAACTTTTATTCAATGCTCATCTTAAAGTTATATTAGTAAAATGGATAAATTACTACACGTGTTTACAAAGGATTCCACAGTCCAGCGTTATTTTCATCAGCCGCAAATTGAGGTATGTTGAGAAGGAATACACAGCTATAGATTTTATTTTCTGGCTGCTGATTTTAGTTCTTGTATTAGTGCATGGACTGTTCTGTTGTAACAACTATTCATAGAACTGAAAATTGAACTTTAATGACTATATTGAACAAAACAAAGCTGATCTTATGCCAACCTGGGTGATGAGTAGCCAATAAAAAATATAATTAAATTTTTAGCTGAAATAAAGTTTACATTCTAGTTTCAATTTTGTGAGTACAAGATGAATGTGGGATTCCTTCAAGCAAGGTCCAAGTGCGATTAACTAATTATGAGAAAGTTATCACCTTATATCAGCAAGATGCCTAGTTTTCATTAGTAATTCCGTTTATTGTCAATGTCTTCTGCATAATTTGATATTGGCTTGTGTTCAACTTTAGTCAGAAAGTGATATATAATTTTGAGAAAATTAATTCATTTGCTCGTTGATTTTATTTATTTCAAAATTTTGCCTAAATTCTCAGATATTTATGATCATATATTCATATCATTATCAATTCATAGCCTTTTTTTTAAATGAGTTGTTGGATTGATTCGTAACATGTAATCTATAAATTCTTTTTACTTTCTGTGCATGAAAGCACTTTACGCATTATATGATTTGCATTAAAAAGCCATAAACTTGAGTTGTCCAACTTTAAAAAATATTTCAGTTTCAATAGTCTAAAGAAGAAAAAACAAGCATATATACATGAAAAGGTTGGAGTAACTCCAGTGGAAGATAAGATTAGAGAGAAACGCCTTAGATGGTTTGCTCACATAAAACAGCGGCCTTCCAATGAACTGGTTAAGAGATTAGATGTATTACATTTGGCTTATGTTAAGAAACGTGGAGGTAGACCTCTAAAAGGCTTGGTTAAAAAATATTAGAAATGATCTTTTTTTAATTTGATTTAAATGAAAATTTGACTCTTAACAAGAAAATGGAGAGAAAAAATTCATGTGGCTGACCCCGCATAGTGGGATAAAGGCTTGATGTTGTTGTTATCATCATCTAAAGAACAGAAAATGTTGAGTTTTGAAATATATAAGAAACCAAACTATGCCAACATTAAGATAGATTAATTTTATTGTTAGAATTTTGATCAATAGTTTCAATTTCATATCTAAATGTTCAAGGTCAAAACCTTATCATCATCTAAAGAACATAAAATGTTGAGTTTTGAAATATATAAGAAACCAAACTATGCCAACATTAAGATAGATTAATTTTATTGTTAGAATTTTG